TTATTCCTGGAGATTCTCTGCCAATTGTGTTCAGTTGTCTCTTGGGGCATAGCCAGTAGCCTCCTTCCACTGACTCCCAATTAATGCCTTATAGCACAGCACATGGGCCCTCTGTGCATGGTGGTGCAGGAGAGAATAAGAGCAAACGATCTGGGCTGTAGCAGCTATCACACTCAGAAGAGGAAGAAGGTGGGTCCCTCAGTCTGTACAAGAGGTGAGCAGGGCATTATCTAAATCCCCCAAATAGCTAATGTGAACTTGGCAGGATCTAGAATCACCAAAGAGACAAGTCTCTGGGTATGTCTGTGAAGGAGTTTCTAGACGGGATTAACTGTGGTAGAAGCCCCACCCGAAATGTAGACAGCACCATCCCATGGGCTGAGGTCCTGGACTGCATAAAAAGGAAAAAGTGAGCTGAGCACCAGCATCCACCTCTGCTTCCTGACTGTGGATGATGCGTGACCGGCTGCCTCACAATCTTGCCACCAGCTGCCTTCCTACCATGATGGACTGCACCCTCAACAGATAAATAAACCCTTCTTCTTAAATTCCCCCTCCCCCTCCCCCTCCTCCTCCTCCTCCTTCCAGACATGGTCTCCCTGTTACCCCATCTGGCCCAGAACTCTCTTTGTATACTCCTGTGGCCTTGATCTCCCAGAGATCTACCTGCCTCTGCCTCCTGAGTTTACATTGCTTCTTGTTGGGTGTTTTGTCACAGTGAAGAGAAAAGAAGCTAAAGCAACCCTCTTGGAGGTCTCAGAGTAGTTTGAGAGGCTGTGCTTGGAGGTGGTATGCAAAATGGCTGATCCAGATGACCACTGTTGTGATCAATTCAAAAGCCTGAGATAAACACTGCTCACTGCAAAAGCCCCTACACCCCCTTCTGGGATGCATATTCAAATCCTAGGATTTCAAAGAGAACTGAACCCCACAAAAGGCAGAAATTGATTCCCCCCAGTAAGAAGCCTGAAGCCCAGCTTCCTGTTGTTGGAAGACAAGGTGGAGGGTCCACAGCCTAGAAATCACAGTCCATGTTTGTGTTTTTCAGCAAATTGCTATAAAAACAAAAGGTTACAGGTGATGTACTACACACAGAATGCAAGTCTATATTTAAACCTAGTTCCTTTTTGTCTGTTCCAGTCTCTGATTTTACTAAATTACTCATAATTTTAATTGTACTTTGAGGCCTGCCAGTTGACAGGCCTTCATTTCCACAATACGTCAGATGGACCACCTCCTGCTCTGGGCTTTTTGAATTTGTTTGTTCTTTTGGGCACTGGAGGGCACAGCTGATGAGCACATATGCCAAGTTCCTTTGGTGAGGCTCTGTGCCACTTTGCAGAGATGTCCAGCCACCCAGGAGGGAGCCTGAAGCCTGTGCTGTTGGGGTCTGGGGCTGGCAGCAGCTCCGGCCACAGCCACTTTGTTCAGAGGGGGTGATGTGCCCTGCTCAGAGCACTTGCTGCCTTTATGGAAAAGGAATGTGCGTTGTTATTGGCAGGCCAACTGCTGTCTACAAAATGCTAATTTTCTCATAGAATTTGGCATAGTAGTAGAAGAGGCAGCATAGAAAGTCAGGGGAAATTAGGGACATGAGGAGGGGAAGTTCCCCTTCACTCTAGAGTCCTAAAGCCTCTCTCAGGCTGAGAATCAAGAATCTGAACACATGAACAGCATTTGCATAAGGCTTTTCTCCCTTCCCAGTTGAAAACCTGGTTTTCCAAGAATCTCACCAAAAAAATCCATTCACAGTAAAAGCATATGTCCTAACCTCCTTGTGCAGCCCTAGTGGCTCCTGGTTTTATTTTTTCAGATTGTAGTGCCACTGAAGGCATCTCTGGAGCTGCCTTATAATCCCCGTTATGGAAGGCAGGGGTTGGCGGGGGCAGAGGTAGAGGAGGGGGAGACCCTTTAGGAACCCACTAAGCAGAGGCTGGAGAGATGGCTCAGCAGCTAAGAGCACTGGCTGTGCTTGCAGAAGACCCAGGTTCAGTTCTCAGCACCTACATGGCAACTAACAACTATCTGAAACTCCAGTTGCAGGATTTTTTAATGCGCTCTTCTGGCTTCTGTGGGCATTATATGCACACAGTGCACATACATACATACATACATACATAGGCAAACACTCATACACATTAAAAAACATATATTTTAAAAAAGCCAGAAAGAGCCAGGATGGTGGCACACGCCTTTAATCTCAGCACTCGGGAGGCAGAGGCAGGCAGATCTCTATGAGTTCCAGGACAGCCTGGTCTACATAGTGAGTTCCAGGAGAGCTGGGGTTACAGGGAGACCCTGTCTCCAAAAGAAAGAAATCCACTAAACAATGGAATTCCAGAAGGTTCCAAAATTCTATATACAATCGTCCTGAAGATACTGAATCAAGGCTCTTCTTTGGGAAGCCCACACTCACCACCTTGGGTGTGGCTTAGTCTTGCCCAGAGTACCTTTATATTACAAAAAAATTTTATTTGCTTATTTATTTTTATTTTATGTGTATGAATATTTTGCTTGCATATATGTAAGTACACCACATGTATGTAATACCCACAGAGGCCAGAAGAGGATGTCAGATGCCCATAAATTGGAGTTATGGATGAGTATTAGCCACAATATCAGTGCTGGGAATCAAACTCAGGTCCTCAGCCAGTGCTCTTAAACCGCTGAGCCATCTTCTTTCTATTTTTAAATAAATTCCAACTCTGCTTCACACTGGCCCACCCTGAAATTCTCTTCTGCACTGAGGCCAAGGATCCTGTTTTGCCCAAGTCAAGGCCCTTAAAGGTTTAAGGAACACCTCAGGCTGCTGCGGGCAACAGTATGGAGCTGTTTCCATCTTTTCAGCTGTTGACAAAAAGAGCAATCTTTTCTTTTTTAATGCCTGATTATGTCTACGGAGGGTGAGAAGCACAGCACTCATGACTTTGGACAACACCCTATCCAAGCCCCTCATGGAAGTCAAGGCAGAAACTGAGACTATGGCTATGGGCAATGCAGATGCGGAATGGCAAGAGTCCTAGCAGCTGTGGCCTCCTACTGTGTCAGAGAGGCCTCTGCAGTCACAACGGACCCTGCATGAGCGCCCTTTGCTGTTAGTCTGCTGCCTAAGCCCAGACTGACACCTTCTTGTTCCTGTCCTGTCCCCTAGTAAACATAGAGAAGACTGGATGCAAGGTAGTGAATTTCCAGGGTTATTAGCAAACATTTGGAAATGTCTTTTTGTCGCCTTGCAAGGTACCTGTCCTCCCCTGAAAAGCTGCCACTAGGTGGGGCCACTCTATCTGTGCAGGAAGGAGGTATGAAACTCTCCTCAGAAACCTTGGTTGTTAAAGTCCTGCTCTCTGCCCCTCCTGTGACCAGCTTCAAGTTTTAGTAGGTTGAACCCACTTCTATGCCTCAGATGTGGTGGCACTGTCATCTGCGATGGTGAATACTGACTGTCACTTTGTGAGGATCTAGAATCAGCTGGTAGACACACCTTTAGGCATGTCTATAAGGGTGTTTCTAGACTGGGCTAACTGAGGAGGGAAGACCCACCCTGAATGTGGGCAGCACCATCCATGGGCTGGGGTCCTGGACTGAATACAAAGGAGAAAGTGAGCTGAGCACCAGCATCCATCTCTGTGCTTCCTCACTGTGGATGCCATGTGAGCAGCTGCCTCACACTCCTGCCGCCATGCCTTCCCACCATGATGGACTGTGTCCTCAAACTGTGAGGCTCATATGGGAAGCCAGCTCTGGGCACAACCTTCCAGCCCCAATAGTTAATCCTCTGCCACCAGTAGTAGGTACCCTCTTCTTTCAGGTATCTGTAAATAATTCTCTTATAGTGAGCTTCTGGATGGTCTATAATTGCATCCTTGCCACAGCCTCTGGTACAGTACCACAGACATTCAGGGTGTTCCCCCCACTTCAGCTAATCCTCTCTGGAAACACCCTCACAGACACACAGGCATGCTCTACTAATCTCTTAGACATCTCTCAATCCAATCAGACAATCAAAATTAATCGCCCCACAGTCCCAAGGGGCAAGAGGATATGAATGCAGCCTTGGGGAGCTGGTTCTTCTGTTCAGCACCCCTCCTTTCCACTGGATTCCCATCCAATGTCCCCTTGGCAGTGCAATGATGTCGTCAACACCTGGCCACATTCAAACCACTGTTCCCTTGTTTCCTGTATAGAGGCCCCACAGTGCTGTAAGTTAGAGGCCCAGAGAGAAGGCAAAGAGGGAGGAAGAGGCTTGGCAGCACTGGGACACTTTCTCAGCTTCCTGGCCACCGTGTTATAAGTTGTTGGGCTCTAATATGCTGGACCAGAACATCTGAAAAAATGAACTATTTTAACAAATCTTCCCTTCCTTTGTTGGCCTCAGGTATTTTGTCACAGCAATGAAAAATGTCTGGGTGATACATAGAGTTACTGAGGTGCCTTTGTCCCCAGAGTCACACTGGCCCCTTGACAACACTGTCAACTTCTATGAAGAGTCTTATACCACCCAGTTCTCCTTTTCAACCACCAACTCACAGTAGCCATGCTTGGCCAACCAGGCCTTCCTGTAGCTCTCTCTGTATACAGGCCACAGCATCTGCCCTTTCTTCATAACCTCTAGGACTTCCCCAGTCCTCAGAGGGACAGGCCTTGCTTCTGGCCAGAAGCACCACCTCTCTTTCACTGCTCATCCTAAAGGCCCATTGGTCTGCTGCTGGGCTGAACTTCTATCTTCTCTGTGCTGGACCTGGAGAAGCCCTGATTCTGGACCAGCCCTTCTATAGATTCTTGTTGTCATTCCTCAGCTAGGGGCTCTGTAGTCTTCCTGGAAATTCTAGAAATGACCCTTTGACCCCACCTTCCTTTCTGGTTTGTCAGATCAGCCAGGCTGTTTCCCTTGTATTCACACAGATGGCCCAGCTTGTAGGCAGACCCTGTAGGGTTGTCCTGACTGAATGAGCCAGGAAGTGAAAGCACATCTCAGAAACCACCGAGGTCCCCGCTCTTACCTGCCACTGGATCAAAACAGAGGAAGTGGTGTGTGGTGTCGCTGAGACAGACCCTGGAGGCTCTCCTGGAACTGCAGGCCAGCAGAGGGAAGAAGGTGGGGTTAGAATGGTTCTGTTGGGTTTGGATGCCACTCAGTGTGGAGTGCCCATCCTCCCTGTGGGGGCCTTCGCCTATCCTTTACCTACTCAGTTAGGACAAGGGTGGTTCCCAGGTGACTGTCTTGCCTTTATCCCACTGGGGCATCCAGGTCAGTTGGAATCCTCCATGGGTCCACTTACTCTACCCACTGCACTCTGGGAGTTCCCTGTCTGAGACCCTCTCTGTGAATCTAGATCTTTGGGAATCAGAATCAGGCAACATTTGCTGAGGTCTTAAGGGACAGCTATTCCTCCTGAGCAGGGCAAATGGGTCACACTGAGGTCACTGCTCTTGATTTGAAACACCACTGTGACTCCTGGCAAAGGTGAAGCTGCTGTTGATCAGCCATCTGGTCTCAGCCTAGGAACTGCAGTAGTTTTCTCTGATTTCTAGAAGGACAAGGTTGGTTTGACCCGTCATGGCCACAGCACAATCCTTGTCCTGTGTCAGGTGCGGGAGGCCTTCTTCCGAGCTCGTCTGCTCTCTCCAGAGTATGTGGTCCTCTTTTGTGAACTGAATTGACTTCTGTGTCTCCCCAGCTGTAAGGCCCCTGAGCATCAACAAGGGCCTATTCAACAAGTGCTCACAGAGCTGGGCTACACCCGGCCTGTTTGCTCAGCCCACATGTGTGCCTGGCTCTGTCCACTTCTCATTCCCAGACTTGCCCGTGGGAGATTTTCTTCTGAACCTGCCAGGACCCCATCCTCAGCCACATCCTAGCTTTGTTTCCCTCTACTCCACTCTCTAAACCTCCTGTTAGTCTGACTTTACTGTGGACCTTTATCTACCCTGAAAACCATGTGCAACAGACAGGGTCTCTCAGCATCCTGAGGCTGGGAAATAAAAATCATCCTAATAAGAAAATGTATGACTGGGTATTACTATGCGTGTGAGCTTGGCACTTGGGAGTCATAGGCAGGAGGATCACAAGCTCAAGTCCAGCCTGGGATATGGACTAAGGCCAGGTGTTAAAAGACTATTGGATAGGGACTTGGCTCAGAGGAAGAGTGACTTCCTAGAATCCCCCAGGGAGAGGCTGGGGGTGTGACTCAGTGGTAGAGCTCCTGGGGGGCACTGGGGTTCAGTGATGAAGCAACTGCCTAGAATCCCCAAGTGAGGTAGAGGGGAGTAGCTAAGCCTTAAAACACTTGCCTAACATGAGCAAGGTCCTGTGTTCTATCCCACCTTGGGCAAAAAAGATCAGAAAGTCATCCATATTCTTAAAGGCCCCTCCCTCCCTAGCTGGGGTAGGGCTGTTCCTGCCTGTCAATCTCCACCTGACAGTGGGAGATAAAGGGCCACAAACACAATGCAAATCCATCCACAAAGGGAAATTGCAAGTCTCAGACAAGGAAGATGATGAGATAGGAGCCTCAAAAGCTCCAATTTGAATATCAAAGGATTGAGGTTGGGCCTGGGGAGCCTGGAGGGTTCCTTGAATAGCTTTTCAGAAATGGCCCATTCCCTGAGGTCACCAGGAGCCAGAAATCTTACACTCTCTTGTTTGTTAGAGATAACCCAAAAGTGAAGCAGCTTGCCTGTGTCTGGCTTCTTCTAAGAATTAGTTCAGGGTTGCAAATATTGCCTTCATTGTGTCTGATGCAAGATAAAAAAGAATGAGGTTTTCAGCTTTCCTTTGGTGCTGACTTTCAAATGCAGCTGGCCTCGTGACCCGCCCCCCCCACTTTCGTGCGTGCTTTGTGAGTGCTTGTAGTATATGCATGTGCGCACATATGTGTGCTAGTGTGCTTGCCATTGGGGGAACATGCAAAGCGTGGAGCCTGATGTTGAGTAACCTTCCTGTGTCACTCTCCACCTTAGTTAGTTCCCTTTGCAACTTCAGCTAGACTGGATCCACTTATCTCCGACCCCACTTTGTCCCTCCCCAGCTGGGGTTACAAGCATGTCTAACTTTTTATATAGGTTGTGGGGATTTGAACTCAGGTCCTCACGCTTAAGCAGGAAATACTTTATTCACTGAGGCATCTCCCCAGCCTGTGACTTTTACATGGGTTCTTTGGAAAGGCTTTCTGATTGCACATATTCTCAGTAGTAAATGAAGGGGCTTGCCTCTCCCTCTGTTCCTCTACCCATCTGTGAGCTGCCTGAGGCAGCCCAGCTTCCTGCCAGCCTGATGCAATCTTGTCCCTTCAGTTTCTCTGCCACCTCTCTTCACCCCTATAGCTGTACCTGGGGCTCCTGGAAACTCTCAGGATGAGTGTGAGGGATTCATTTTGCCAGAGTGTCACAGAGGCCAAAAGCCCCTCTCTCAGGGCCCAGCCCTTACATTAAACATTATACAAAGCTGATTGACTGATTGGAATTTCTGTGATTGTGGAGAATTGGGATGTTACAGGTTTAGAGTTAAACTGTCATGGGCTATCTTAGCCCCTAAATCGCCATTTATTACCCACCTGTGTGTGTGAGATCTCGCATCCTTTTAAGTACTGAGTAAATCCTTCTAGAACGTACAGTCAGACTCCTAACATCTATAACCAAAAGACTAAAGAAATGTTACCAGAGGTCTATTGCAGAGGTTTGCCCACTTTGCTGTAACCTGTCAACCTGATGTTCTCAGCAATGTATTTAAAAATTGTTAACACTTTGGAACATGATATTGGGGCAAACTGAATCTGTGCTCCCAGGCCATGGTCACTCATATTTGGCTTCTGAATAAACCATCTCATATTCCCTTTGAGGTGAGAGCTGACCGTGTGTGTGTGTGTGTGTGTGTGTGTGTGTGTGTGTGTGTGTATGTGTGTAGCTGAGTATGACTGAAAAGCTAGAAATGGCTGGCTTCCATCCCTTGCTTGGTCTCTCAGGTGGTGTGACACTCTCTGTGGTAGAAACTACACTTTCAGGTTTTGAAAAGAGCAGGGGGAGATGACAGGAGGGCGAGGCAGCTGGGAGCTGGTCCATTTGGAAATGGTTGCACTGGTGCGTTAAATGGAAGACGCGGCGCTCTGGGGCGGGCTCTGGAGTTATCACAAAGTACTGTCAGCTGAACTAAGTGCTCCGGCTTCCAGGCTGATCTGCCGGTTACACAATATCCATCTTTTCTCATTCCACATGTCACGTTATCTCCGTGTCTGACGGAGCTGTCTCTGGGGCTCACCACAGCCCCTGCAGGATCAGGTCACCGAACTGACAATGTATCTTCAGGCCCAGTGCCTCTGAAGTAGGAAGGGGGTGAAGAAGCCACCTGGTGCTTTGAGGGTAACTTCCCTCCATCACTAACCTGTGCTATTGTCAAAAGAAGCACCTTGTGAACGAGAAAAATGGGGAAACCCCTCTTGGCCCCAGCTACCCATTGACATTTATTTTTAATGACCTCCATCAATTATTCAATTTCTAATGGATGAGGGCTTTGGAAGCCAATCAAAGAGAGTTCCATTCCATCTGGAGGGCCTCTAAGGCCTTGATTTATGACTGTGGGGTAAAGTAGGAACACCCCAGGCTGTTGGTTGCTAATGGAAGTCTGCTGCTTGTCACCCTCCCTGGCAACCCGTCCTCTCTGCTCGCAACCAAAATGGGTCTCTCTCTTTAGGAGGAAGTTCTCCTTCGGCCTCAGCACAGCAGTGAGAAGACTGTGCCCAGGTTGGCTCACCGTCTTGCAATGTGGTCACGGCCTCCGTCTCTGCACTGAAGTCGCTGTCCCCAATATCATTGGTGGCTTTTAGGCGCAGCTTGTAGGAGGTGAAAGGCCTCAGTCTGCAACAGGAAAGAGGAAAGTGATCCCCAGGGAGCTTGCCTCTTTGCTCTGGCTGAGCGGGGGCAACCCTGCTTCCAGGAGGTTCTGAGCCACTTCCTGGCTGTAACCAAAAAGGTCTTTTAGGGTTCCCTGGACTGTGGTGATGCCCAGGGAGAGCAAGTTTCATGGAGAGAGGGATCAGTTGGTGCGAGTACCATGACCAGTGGACATTTGCTACCTCCATAAAGACACCAGTAGCAGTTTGCTGCCGGCCTTGGGCCAAGGATGGAGGGTGGAGCTGGGTTTGGGGTCTGGGGAGGAGCTGATGGGATCAACTACAATGGGAATAGAAAGTCCATCAAATAGATGCTAAAAGCTCTTGGAATGTGATGGTAATTAAGAATTTTGGAGCAGGAAAACCTGAGACAAGAGATAGAGATGGGGAGGTGAATGGGAGTCTTCTCCCCTGCTCCCTGTGGTGACCCAAGATAGAAGTCTTGTTTCCCAAGGCCTTCACATTCCTGTAGCCTTTGCAGCCCTATGTTACCCCACTTAAATATCATGCATATGCTATGTACCTTTTGCTTACATTCCTCACACAAGAATATAAAAGCCCCCCAAAACTTGAACAAGGGGGATCCATGGGGTCAGTCCCACTAGTGTAAAATTAAACTCCCTCTCCTCACCTAACTGATTGGTCTTTGATTTGGTTGGTCTCTGATTTTTCAGTAACACAACCTTATAGCTGCTGCATAGCCAAGTGCTTACCTGTCCCTCCCATCTACTCTGTGCTCCTTCATGAGCTCTATCATGGCCAGCTAGCCTCTCTGGACTCACCAAGGTGTCCTCCCTACCCCAGCCAGGCAGGCCCACCCAAGGGAAGGGTTTCCCTCCAGGAGCTGAGCCCATTCTGCACTAAACCCTTGCTTGGCACTGCCCTCTCCTGCCTGCACTAGGAATGAGCTCCCAGAATTATCCATGCTCTACTTTACAGATGAGGAAAGAGGCCCAACAGGTAATTCACTCACTGCTGCCAGAGGTCTGGCAAATGGTGTGGTGGGGTCAGAATGGGGGAAGGGGGGATAGAGCCCTGTCTTGAAGCAACTTTGCATGTCACTCTACATAAGACCATTCAGGTGTTGTCCCCAAGCCTGAGCATCTCTGGCCCTAGGGCAAAGCCTTCCTCATCCCCCTAATCCCTCCACTCCTCATAGCCAACCCACCCTGTGAACTAATGGCTTGGAACCAAGTGGCAGGACCTGAGGCTGAGGACACCCATGAGTATGGAGCTCAGTCACAGCCAACAGTGGCCTACTGCCATGCGACTCACACAGCCCATTCAGGAAATGCTGAGTTTAAAGAAATATTCTGTTCTTTGAAAAACCAATAATCAGTTTTGGAAACCTGTGTGTAATCTAAATTTACCAGGAAAAAAACAAAGCCATTCTATAAGGTTGACTGACTGATAAGACCATCTATGTATAGGGCTAGACTGCTCCTATGTGTAGTGTTAAGGTTCAGATAGCCCTGCCCTCTCACCAACAGGGTCTCAAGGACTTCTCAAGCTCCTGAGAAAAGGGAACTGGGAACCTAGCTGATAAGCACCCTAGTCTTTGAAGTCAAGAGAAGCAGACTTTTCTCCACTGTTTGGCCAACACAGCAGGCTTCCCCTTTGATCTCTAAAGAGGACAGATTTTAACAGTCCCACTCTCCCACTTCCCCCAACCCAACTTTAAAAAAATACATCTTCCACGTGGGAGGCAGAGGCAGGCAGATCTCTGTAAGTTCAAGGCCAGCCTGGTCTACATAGTGAGTTCCAGGACAGCTGGGGCTACAGGGAGACCCTGTCTCAAAAAGACCAAAAATCCCGCCTTCTGCAGGAAGCGGAAGCCCCCCCCCCCCTTAAAAAGACCCCAGCTCATGACCTGGGGCAAACATTTTCCCTGCCTGGAAGGGAATCTGTCCCATGTGTTCCTTTGCTAATAAACTCTATTCTGATGGAGTTTTATCTGTGTCCTGGTGCTTTCTCCTGATCAACCCTATTTGTCATACGGCTACTTTTTATCTATCATGTAGGGGCTGTTAGGTTCTTGGCAGGCTCTTAAATGGCAATGTATCTCCCAGTATTCTAAAATGGTGGGTTCGAACTTAGCCCTGGGAAAGTCCCTCTGCTTATAAGAAGACCACCTTATCCTGAGCTAAACTACCCAGCCTATGTCATGGAAAGTTACCCAGTCCAGCCTACGCCATGGAAAGTTACCCAACCACCTACCTACCTATAAAAGATGTCTAACTTCCCCTGCTTACTGTTGTTTCTCTGCTCCCCAAGAGGCATCCCAGCAGTCTGTTTGCCCACAAATAAACTGCTGCCCCTCCCAACCCCCTCCCCATGGAGTTGTCTGGTCGGTGGTCTTCACTGCTCTGCATCCATATAGGGGCAAGTTATCATTTCTATCTTTAGCTCCCTAAACAGTCATTTATTGCCCACCTGTGTGTGTGTGTGTGTGTGTGTGTGTGTGTGTGTGTGTCCTAACATCCTGGTGACTATTAGGTAAATCTTTTGGGAATGTAAAACAGACCTCTAACTTCCCCCAACCCAAAGGCTAAGAGTGTCATCAGACAGCATCTGAGGCCTGTAACAGAGGTTTCCCTGCTTTGCTATAACCCACCTATCTGATGTTCCCATCAAAGTATTTGAAACGTGCCTTAACTTGGAATTTTCTTTGTTCTCTTACTACAAAAAATTCTTCATTGAAATGTTAGCATGGAACATGGTATTCAAGACAACTTGAATCTGCATCCCTGGGCCATGGGCCCTCATATTTAGCTCTAGAATAAACTGTCTCTTACCCTGTTGCGGTGAGAGCTGTGCTTTGTATAGACTCCATTATCAGAGGCACTTTCTTACTCTCCTGGCTTCGGATGCAGTTGGATTAGTGTTTCTCTATAGCTTCAAAGGATGCTCTACCTCGAAGGCCCTAGAACAAACTGGCCCTGCCAATTCCTAGACCCCAATAGGCCTGGCTTCAGTGGCAACCAGGAGAGCTGGCCCTGGTTAGCTTAACTCAGCTTAACAGAAAAGCCGCTGAAGTCCCAGCTGTCTTTGCTGTGGGTTTCTGGGGAAGTCCTTTGTTTAGCTAAGACAAACCACTCCACCTGTTTCCAGCTTCCCAGAAGTTACTGTGTCTAATCTTAGTGATAAAGACCTGTTTGTCCTCTTGCTTCCTAGCCTCACACACTGAGCATCAGGCATTTTCGTGGCCAGCTACTTCTCCTCCTGCTCTTGAAGGCAGCATGGTGTCCTTAAAATATGGAGGTCCACTTTGTAACTTCTCACCCCTAGCCAAGCTTGGATGAGTCACTTTGCAGCTGCTTCCCTAGCTGGGTGGCTAATTGACGGACAACATGAGGTCCCCAGGATTAAATAACGTGAGGCACTTAGAGGACTCTGATCTGTAGTAAATGGTTACTTAAAGTAGCTATTGTGGGAATAGGGAGATGGCTCAGCCAGTAAGAGTGCTTGCTGTGCAAACACAAGGACCTGAGTTCAAATCCCCAGCATGCATGTAAAAGCTGGGTGTGATCACGAGCCCATAACCCCAGCACTGGGCCCAGGTGGGGTGGACACAGAATGATTGCTGGGGGTTGCCGGCTCCTAGTATAGCGCTGGGTTCAGTAAGAGATCTCCTTCTCTAAGGGGATAATATGGAGAGTGATAGAGCCAGACACTTGACATCCTCCTCTGGCCTATGAACAAATACATCTGTACAAGTATACATATAAACCACACACACACACACACACACACACACACACACACTAGCTGTTATCATTATTAACCCTTAGGTTTCATCTTAAATAGGTGAAATGAGTGGCAGTCTCATGCCAGTTGTCCTCAATACCCTGATCTTTTCTTTTGAAGACAGGGTCTCATCTAGCCTAAGCTGGCCTTGAACTCAATTTGTAGCTAAGGATGGCTTTGAACTCCTGATCCTCCTGCCTCTACCTCCTGACTCCTGGGACTACAAGCATATGCCACCCACACCCAGTTTTATGTGGTGATGTGGTGCTAGGGATAGAACCTAGGCCTTCCTGTATGCTAAGCAAGCACTCTACCAACCGAGCCACATCCCCAGTCCTTCATCTTCTTTATCACAGTAGCTAATTTTTTTTTTGGATGATATGGTGGTTTGAATGAAAAATGTCCCCCATAGACTCAAGTATCAGAACACCTGGTCCCCAGTTAGTGGTGCTGTTTGGGGAGGTTATAGAACCCTTAGGAGGTGCAGTCTTGCTGGAGGAAGTACGTCACTGGAGGCAGGCCCCACTTCCAGTTGCTCAGTCTGCTTCCTCTGTGCGATGAGATGAGTTCTCTCAGCTTCCTGCTCCTGCCACCATGCCTTCCTCACCAATACGGACATCTAGTCTTCTGGAACCATAACAAACTCTTCCTTAAGCTGCCATTGATATTTTATCACAGCAACAGAAACGGAGCTAATACAGATGGCTTTACAAGACTCTACATCCCTAAGGACAGGGGCAGGCTTGTCTTGGGGACTGCTGGATCTCCAACACCAAGAACTGTGCTTGGCACTCGAGATGCTTAGTAACACTTCACTGAAGGAATGAATAAATTATGGTGACAATGTCCTCCAAAGTCTCTTGGGAGGGTGGAGTAAGAGGACACATGTCTCAGGTTGCCATACCAACCTGCCAGGCAAGTGCCCGCTGGTGCAATAGTGGTACACTGGTGTAGGATCATTAACCCTCTTCTGATTAGACTTGAGGCCTGCTCCACAGGAGAGAATTTCATGCCTGGTATTCTAATCCTAGTCAAAAGCCCATGGCTGGGGAGGTTGTAGGCCCTGGGTTATTTTGTTAAGTTGTTAGGCCCTCAAAGTGTCTTCTAAATATTTATGTTTATTAATTAGATTGGTGCTGCTCTCAACCTTGGTTAAAAAAGTTTCCTTTCGTAATGGGCAGCATTCAGTAGGGAGATGCATAACTGGACAAAATGCTG